AAGAAAATCGTGCAAATCTTGTTTGCTCTCCGAGAGAGCGAAAAAAGGTACACAGAAAGAAATATTTAAATCCAATAAAATCTAAAATGTCAACGGGAATGCTTACTTTTTATAAATAATGTTATATAAAAGAGTTTATTTCCCGTGATGGTATTTTTCACTTAGACGTTTTACTACTTTCTCACATTTTATTATTTATTGTGTAGGAAAAAAGGAAAACCAGGCTTGAAAAGCCACAGCTCAGTTGGTATCGGTGGACTTTCCAACAAATTTAAACGTTACATGCGAGTAGATTTCAACGCGATCCGATCATCGATTGCTCGTGCACCCACACAGATACTCACTAATACACTGAAAGGCCTCGGGGCATGATGCAATGCAACTCCTTTTGCCCTCAGGTGCCGCTTTTCACTTTCCGCCCGTTTGTTTGTTCATTCCACCAATCGGCAGGCAATTGGCCAAACAAAGTCAGTCAAGTCAGTCATTTTTAGTGACTCGACTACGGCCTTTGTTGATTTCAACGATTGGCGTACCGAATAACTGCAACTGTCATTTTCTATTCGCGAATTTTCCGCTGGCGACCTGCTGGGCTTGCCTTCTTCTGACTGCGGTTTCTAAAAAAAAGAAAACCATACGAAATAGCCAAAAAAATAAATACATTTTTCGCTGCCTGTCGAGAGGCGAAATGTCAATTTGGCGTTGTTTACTTTTTGTCCAAAAAAAACCTTTAATCCGAAGTTTTAGACTTTTGAGTTGCATTCGTTGCGCCTTCAATTGCCGCAATTTAGCTGGAAACACCCCCTTAACCCATGACAATCCAGCCCCACACCAAAATCCGCTTAAGGCGCGCCATTGAGTGTTAATTAAGCATTTATTCAGCATCGGGTGTCAAAGTTGGCTCTAAAGAGCCGAAAATTAATGCCAGTTTGTGTCGATTTTCCTTTGTTATCAATTGAAAATTTATTTTCGATTTCATTCTCGGCCCGGTTTTCGATTTCGGCCATAAAGTTAAAGTCCAAGGCGCAACTTCATCGATCATTGTCTGGTGGCATTGTCAAAAAAGCATACACAAATAAAATGCCAGAGGCCCAAAAAGGTTGATATGGCTTCCTTGATGACTTGAGAGACAGCTCTCGACTTAGATGAATCATTTCCCGCCTCAGCCCCTTGGTCCAAAATCACAAGCGTTTTTAATTGGTCAATAAAAAGCGGCACGTTGGCTATAATAACAGAGGAAATGCCAGAATTACCGCATTTAATTTGCATATTTTGCTTTGGAAATTTGACAGTTAAATGTGGCTTATTGGTGTGTAAGATTTCAAATTAAAGTCAAATCAGCGCGAGCCTGAATGGAAATGTGGTTCAAATTACTTAATAAGTTTCTTTTTGTACACTTTTCATGGGGCTGATTTGAATTTACTTAAGGCGGCTAACAAATTTTAGTCTTTGTTTTAAAGACTTATGGTGATATAAAGCAGGTCATTAAGATAAGTGTTTATATAATGTCCATCCATAGCTTTTTTTAAATATAGTTCCGATGGAACACCAATCCAAATTCTTTGATATATCAAAAAATATATTTTTAAAATTATGTTTAATGCTAGCAACATTAAAAATTACAATCCAATTTTTTGGAATACATATTCTTATAATTCATATGTATACATAAATTATATTAAGTCAGAAAAATTACACGCCGTATCTTAGAACTATTCCTATGCTAACAAATCTTTAGTGTAAGTAGGGAGGTTTGTCTGTCCTTAGAATCATATAAATGGTTGAACATATATGTACTCTTTAAGAATGCTCTTGAAATAATTTCCACTATCTTTGATAGCTTATGAAATATTTTCTATTCATATTTATAAAGAATCCCCCTTCAATTTTCTCTTAAATATGCAAGTGCTAATTGAACTTTGGCCAACCCGTCGCCTCTCAACAGTTGGCTTAAAGTGCGCTAACCTTAATCGGTGTAGGAAGTGCAACGGTAAACATTATCAAGTAGCGCCTAGATGGGTGGTTCTTTGGGGTGGGGCTGCGTGAGCCAGGAGACCGCGACGTCGACAGGCTGATAAGCATCGCCCAGTACAATGGGGCACACTCTTCTAGCCGGCTGCCTCTGCTGCTGCTTCCTACTCCTGAATGTTGCTGTTGCAAGTGTTGCTGCTGCTGCAGTTGCTGCTGCTGCAGTCAATGTGCCAGTTAGGCAGTCAACTATGCGTGTCTCTGTGTGTGCAACCTGCAACACTTTCAAACAACTTTATCAAGCCAGAATCTCGACTGACTGGAATGACTGACTGACTGACTGAGTGAATGACTGACGTGGTCTTGATTGAAATGCGACGAGCTCGTCGACAAGCCAACTGAGTGGGAGGTTGGCTGGCAGTCGGGAAAAAGGAAAATAGAAAATGGAAAATTGTTAATGGGAGGTTGGGTGGCTGGAAAGCCCGCTCCCAGGTCGGTGCGTATGTATTAATTAGTGTCAAGTGTTGTCGCTTTGAGTTACGCGCCCAGGGGAACTGCCAACGTCAGCGATAACACAAAGCGATAGTAACAGCCACTTGTTTGCCCAGCAGCTCCTCGAGATCCCCCAGATACCCCCAGTCCTATTCCCAGACCCATTCCCATTCCCATTCCCATTTCCCTGGCCATATAATCGATGATGACACGTTTCGGCTTTTGCCCATGCGCAATAGCCTCCTGGAACTGCAACTGCAACTGCAGCTGGCTGCAAATTGCCAAGTAGAGTGTTTGTGCGAGTGTGCAAATTTATAAACACTCTCCTCTGGATACTGTAATATTTTTTGCGCATCCAATTACATTTATGTGCTCGTAAACTAAAAATTCTGCACAGCTTGCAAACCGGGTTGCCTCACAATAATAATTATAAGCCCAAGAGGTTGGCTACCCTAGATAGATGGTCGCCGCATCATATGTGTGTTGTTGGCCCTGTGGGAGCGGCCGTTTAGTGGAGTGGGTCTGTCATGGGTTGTATTTTATACACTTCCTGATTTATGGCTGGAAAAATATAGTAAAATTCTTAAATGAACTCGCTTCCGGAGCTGCTAGGGAAAACTAATCCGATATTAATTTCCTTTAAGAACCCTAGGGTGAGGGCTGTTAAAGTCGAGGCTTGCTGCGGAGTATGGGAAACCCTTAAATACCTTTTGAGATATTGAGAAAAATGCATTGCTCCCATTTAAATTTATTTTTATTGTACAGTAAAAAAAGTTATTCCCCTTCAACTAAAGAGAATCATTATCTCTGCCTTTCAAAATGCATTAAAACGATCATATACCATAATAAATTTCCGGTTATTATGTACTATTATATTTTATTTTCTAGGTTTCTTAATGCAAATTTTTTTTTAATATTCCAATTATCTTTCAAAAACAACAAGAACCAAATATAAAAATTATTTAATAGTCCTTTTCTGCACTGTTTTATAGGGTATGACTGACATTTTATTAAACACCTGCAGGTGAGCAAAATCAAAGATCACATAATGCTTTACGACCTAGCCCAAGGAAGTATGCCATGTAGTACTAACACCCAGGATAGACTGGAAAAATTATAGCTGAAGTTTTGATGATCACCCGTAGAAATCCTTTGGGAAGAATCAATTAAACAGATTGTTTTCTCTAACCCCAAGACCGAGAGTCGTAAAAATCGGCAAGCATTAAAACTGAAGCCGAAAATCACGTAGGCTTTGGCCAAAAATCTTGGCCACTTTCTTTTCAAGTTTGGAGGGAAATCTCATTGGAACCACTGGCCGAAAAAAAATGCAGCCCACATACGACTGCGAAGATCTTAAACTAGAACTACGCCCCAAACACCGAACAGCAAACAACAAACACGAGACAACAAACAACCAACAACCAACACCAGAAAACAACATTAACCGCAATGGATATTGCCGGCAAGGCATTGATTGGTTTTTCATTTTCGCTGCCCCCAAAATGGTGAAGAGCTAACACACAGATGGATATATATATATTACCATTGCAGGTTGTGCGGTGTGAAAATTGTTTTGGCCCCGGGGCCTTTGGGAGAGATACAAAATTATGTGGCACTTTCATATGGCCATAACGAAGCATGTGAATGCCAAAGCCAATTGCAGTTGGTGTTTTTATTTTCTAGTTCACGAGTCGGCCGATTTCAAGGCTGCCACCGGCCAAGTGGCAATTAAAATTCTTTCGCTTTTAATGCCCGATATCCGAGGCATGAAATTAAAACATGTTTTCTCAATCTTGGTTAATGAATTTCCATGCATTTTGTGGCTCGACCCGCACCCTTTTAAATACTGTTTTTAGGGACCACAGTTGTCAGTTTAATAATCAATTATGCTTTGTACGTGTTGTCATTGACCTTCAATCTGGTCCACACGATCTTTACGGATACATCCACACCCATCTATAATAGATCAGGCAATTACCCGATTTTAAAGCCTCTTAGCCTCTTTTATTTCCCATCTATTTATGAAATTATAATTTGATATTTCAACATAGTTGTCAATCACAGCTGTCGCTGTTGTTGTGCTTATTGTTATTTCTCCAACAATCTTTTTTTATTTTTTTGGTCGCGACTGGGCGTGGCAGGGGCACAGGTATCGGGTCTTTTTTGTTGGCGTTATTAATTTGATCGTTAGGTTTTCTTGTCAGACGGCTGCCGTTTGACACGATGATGGGCCTCCCTCAGCTTTAAACACACTTCAACATCATTTGGACAGCCAGCAGCCCCCGTATTCTGGGGCCTTTTGTTGTAGTAAAAAAATATAAAAAATATATGCTGACGGAAAAAATACTTTGTACGACCCACGCACTTGTCATAATAGATTCGTTTATAATTTTATTTGCTTTGGTTCTTTTTTTTTACTTTTCCAGACATTTTTTATGCAGGTTATTTTCGGCTGGGCTTGCCACACGGGCATAAATCGTAAGCCGCTTTTGTGCCCATGAACAGATTTAAATACTAAATGCGGTGTGGAGGGTTTTACCTACCTCATAAATCCATGGACAGGTTCTGAAATAGGAAAAAATACAACTCATTAATTTAATATTTATTACAGCAAATGGCATTGCATTTATGTGTGCAGTAAAGTAAAGTCTGCTCATTGTACTTGTAAGAATTTCAATAATGTCATTCATGTACCTAATTCATTCAGACTTGAAGAGGTTTTCTATTTTTTTTTGCAACATAACTATTTTTATTGTGTATTTTTCATACTACTGTAAGGCCCTTTTCTGAAATAATTAAATAATGTGTCGTAGAAAACTTAACAGATTGATATATTTGATTGTTTTGTTTTGAATTAAATAATCTCCTTTCTGATTAAAAGCTTTTCACAAACAATCTCATATATTTGCAATTTTCGACATATTTCCCAATGCGTAAACGATTTGTAAAAATTTTCCACGCACAACTGTACCTTCAAACAGAATTTGCACATGCATCAAAGAAGTGCAAGCCAAAAGTGTTGCCTACTCCAGGGCGTTCAAGCACCTTCCTATCCTCATCGCCATGTTAGGAACATTCTAATGAACATATACAAAAATCTCAAGTGCCAGACGCGACGATGACGCGACGCTTTTGCCACCTAGCCACGCCTCCAGCTGCCCTACGCCCCTATGCATTTTTTTCTGCATTTTTTTTTCGTATTGCCTCAAGGGAATGTGTGTGTCTGAGTTTGAGCCTGTCTGTCTAGCCATTGCGAAGATTGCGTTTAAATGCAGGCATTGTTGTCGTTTCGGGTCCCCATTCCTTCAACCAGTCTCCAAAGGCTCAAGACAATTGAGTCTGAGAGCGTAATTTGCAACTGCCTGAGACGGCGATGGAGTTGCAGGCCAGGATGCAGGGCCCCCGAATGCCGACTTTGGCCAGGATACGGTGCAGACACAAGTGCAGCGAGCGCCTAATGAGTAAGGGGTATTCGGGGTGCTGTCGTAACTCCCCCATCACCATCGTCGTCATCCAAACTTTCCACCTTCTTCAGCTCCAGCCCGCGGGTCTGTGACATGTTGCCTGGATGGCTGGCTGGCTGTTGTTTTTGCCCGGTTGCATTTTGCATCCAACTGGAGGCTGCTGCACCGAAAAAGCAACACAGCCACACGGGGCACTGTTTGCACAGTAGCCTGCCTTTTTGGTTTCGAGGAGTCTGAGTGGGAACCCAGAACCCAGAACCCACCATCCAGAATCCAGAATCCAGAACTGGAGATGGAGCTGTAGCTGTAGCTGCACTCGGAACCGCGGCAGACATCGTCCTGTGGCATACCCAACAGGCGTTAATAATCATTCTTGTTTTTCGCTTTTTTTGCAAAAAACAAAAAAAAATAAAACAAAACAAGAAAAATGCAACGAGTGTTTTTTTTCTACTTTTTGTGTTGTTTTGTTGGCTGTGGAATTGCTGTTCTTGATACCCTGGGAACTATGAATCTCATGGGGTTTTATGGAACCAGTCGCTTTTCTCATTCATTATATAATTCTCTGGAAATTAAACACACCATTCAAATAATCTGAAAAATGTTCTTTTAGATTTTTAGCCCTTATGAAATAATTTTAATATTTTAAAATGTATTTTTCCCATAACAATGTTGTTTTGTGATCCTAAAAAGTTTTTAATATTTTTTTTGCCTATTTTTTATGATAATTAACTATACATTTTATAGAAATAATTTATTTAGATCTTATTTTATGATATTCTTGCAATTTTTTTTATTTCTGCATATTTATTTTCCTAAGGGATATTATCGAGCCCTCACACACCTACATTCTAAATGCATGTTTTTTTTGTTTCAAGTTTATCCTTTTGGGCCTTGGATTTCATTATTTTTTTTGCGAAACTTTTTCATTTTGTGCAGTCAGACGATGACGACGTCATAGAGAGTGCATTGACTGAAGTCTGCAAAAAAATAAAAATGCATAAACCGAAAAAAGGAGAAAAACAACCGAAACCGAGCCAAAACGGCAAGTGTGTGGAGGAGGTGGCCGTTGCAGTCTGGTGTTGGCTGCTGCATCTTTTGTTGATATGTAGCGACATGCACAGTGCAGTTTTCCTGGAAAATTTCTAGAGGGGGGTAGGTGGTAGAAAAAAAGGCGGAAAAAGTCAGCCCAGCGGAGTGCAACCATAGTTCAGTAGCTGGCAGCTTTTTGTCTTACAGGAAGCGTTTTAGCTGCGAACTAAAACAAAAAGTTGTTTGCCATAATTAAGACTTGGCTTTTGGCTTAGGCCCAAGCCTCAGTTAAGTGTTATTAGTTGGAGCGTTTCTTTTTCGGCCATTGTATCGCTGGGTTTTTGGTTGCACGGAAGTGGCGGGGAAGGAAGTTGCCAAGGAAGCGGAGCAGGATGAGGATCAGGATGAGGTTGAGGAAGCGGCGGAGTCGTTGCACTTGTTAATTGCCGCACCAGACTCTTTTTCCCACCCGCACACGCACTCCGCGGCGGCCAAAGTCAAACAGTTTTGTCCTCGTCCTGGGACCACCTGCTTGGCCTGCACTGGGAGAAAATATGTACCAAAATGTTAAAAGAATTTTCAATCAATCACTCAATCCTTGATTTTCTTAGATTTATTTGCCCAATATACTATACAGAAATTATATCTGATATTAAAAAAATAAAGTTTAAAGAAGCTACTTTTGCAATTAATGATTTTAAAATTAATAAATTCATTTCCATGTGGTTTATTAAAATCTTATCAAGTTTTTAAAAATAAAAAATATATTTAAAAAAAATTATTTTAAAATTTTTTAAATATATTCAACCTTGATCTTGCAACTTCCATTTTTTCTCCGTGCTGCTGTGGAATTGTTTGGGCCACGTAAATCATTAAATGCCGAATGGCCGGCAAAGAAAACATTTGGCGAAATTTCAGGCACCAGTGAAGCCTGAAACAAAGGAATACATTTAATAGGAGTATTTCCTTTTTTATACACATTTTTTCGCTTGAAAAACTTCCCCAGGAGCGGAAAGGAAGGTCGTGGAAGGCAGGAGCCAAGGCAGGAAACTTGCAGCAGGCGACTGGTTTTTCTGTATTTCGTATTTTTTTATACTTTTTGCAACGCGACTTTGGCGGTTATTAGTCGGCGGCTGCACGCGAATTTGCTTTATTTTCGCTGGTTGTTTTGTTGCTGGTGATGCAGCAACCAAAATCCAATTAGCTGCTCAAAAAGTTTTGCAAATGCGCGCAGAAAATTTAATTAATGTTGACACAAGTTGAGGCCAAAACTGAACGGAATTGAATTTGGTTTTGGCGGAGGATGGGAGAAAGAAGAAAGCCGGGTTGATTGAAGAAAGCCATTGTGTTTATGAATATGCACGGAAACTGTACATAATTCTGATCAAATTGACCTTTTGAACCCACGCGAGACTGTTAAATTATAATTTAGAAAAAAATAAATAATTGCAACTCTTGTCTTCTAAAGAAAATAAAATAACAATGTGCAATGTGATTTTTATGGATTTTTATGTCGATAATTCCATTATTTAACGGTCTTTGGTTTTTTAAAAACAACTATTTTATAACCTTTATACTACTTAATACATTTTTTTAAATTTAACGACTATCTATCCACCAATATTAATTAGTATGAATAGTCTGTTCGGTGGTAAAATTGCATTATTATTTTTATTTTTGCTCTTTGCCATCAATTTGCTAACAATTTTGTACAAAAAAATCTCCACCACTTTGTTGGCCAGGTCACCTGTCATCCCGGCCAGAAATAGCCTGGCCAACAACAAACCACCATTAAGCTTGGATGAGCAGAGACCAAGCCAATAACTCAAACCAGCAACCAATGTTAACCAGAGACCTCACCTCACACAACAACAACATCAGAGAAAATACAAGAAAAACGCAAAAATAGAGCATAGCCAGGTGCGGGAATTTCAATTGGGCTCTTTTTTCCAGGGGGCCAGGCCACCAAAATGGACGCGGCCGCAGCTTTTCAAGCGTTAAAACATAAAAATGTCATTAACACTCAACAGATTTCTGGTGCGCCAACGGCCAAAAGCAACAAATGGCCAACAACAAACGGCTTAAATGGCCAATAACAAATTGTTGCAAATGTTCGTTGCAAAGAGCTGAGAGAAACAAAAAACGGAAAAAACCAAAGAACAGGCAACGAAAAAGTTTTTTCCTCATAGTTTTCCTAGTGCTTTATTTTATTTTGTTTGCTGGCTGTTTAGGTGTAGACTTAAATTTATTTGACGCTTAAACCCGAGCTGCAGACAAGAAAATGACACAGAAACCGAGTTAAGCCGGCGGAACGCGTTTAAGCCGAATTGCGAGCCGGGCTCGAAGCTTGGAGGTCGTTTATTGTCGCTGGCCTGGCCCAAAGGGGGTGGCAGTCGGTGGTGGCTGGGGGCGGGCCTGGGTATCATTTACGCCATAATTTTTCCCAAGCGAAATATTTTCCTTAATGGTTTTTAATGAGCGGGTTCGAAAGTGTTCAAACGGCGGACGGAGGTGTTGAGAAATATGCCTGATTTATAGAATCCGCCAGTCTGTATTTAACGATGGTGCCGATTCGCAACGAGCTTGCTGAGATTTTTGGGCGTTCCTAGGCAACCTACATAGATCCACGGGGAGGTGTTCTCCTCCAATCTATCGATCGTTAATAGATTTGGTTTCTTCCGAGGAAAACGATTCGGGAATTGGGAACAGCCTAATGGATCCGTTAGAAAGTTTTAGACATCTGCCGATAGTGGATTGCGTAATTTACTTTGGCCTTGATTGCTACGATGGCATATAGCTTCAGGTGCTAAACGAATATAACCAATATTTTCCTAGAGATTGTATTAAAATACCTATCATAAAGAAAATAGTTCTAAAACTATTTAAATTTCCATTATTCCAGGAATTTGTAATATTGATATTATTGATAAAGATGATATAGTATGCAACCATTCCGGCATTGTTTTGTATTCACTTTCTAAAGGGTGTCCCCTTTTTTCCCCATATCATTCTTCCCCTTTTTACTTCTCCTTTATAAAGCTGTCCCTCTATTTAATTTTCCAATGGTTGCAC